GCCAGCCACGTGGATGACAGGTTGAGCGCTGGCTGCCTCCATCCCCGTGTGTCACAAGGACCCACTTGCACGCAGCCAAAAGGCAAAGAGGTAAATAAAAGGAGGAGGAAACCAGACCTCACAGAGGCAAGAGAAAGAGAGAGGGATCAAATCAAAGAAAAGACAAAGGAACAAAGCAAATGACACACACGTATATATATATAGTCAAATAGAGCTGCCTGGTTATAATATCTATATACATACATATATATATAATGCCATGCAAAAGACTGCCATGCCCCTGTGAAACCGAGCAATGTTTCGCACTGACAGGACAGCTACAGCAGTAATATCCGGTAGTGAGCAGACATGTCCGCAGGTTGCACCTTTTTCGCCTGTTTCCTGAACATGCAGAGCCTTTCCCTGAGGTTCCCAATTGGCATCCTCTGTCTGCTCTGCCCGTGACCTCCAGTGTCAATGGCCATGTCTCTGGCAGACATTTTTTCTTTCATCTCTCCATGTTTCACAGCCCTTCCAAGTACTCAGAGGCATCCTCTGTCTGCTCTGCCCGTGACCTCCAGTGTCAATGGCCATGTCTCAGGGAGACATTTTTTCTTTCATCTCTCCATGTTCCACAGCCCTTCCAAGTACTCAAGAGGCATGACTGAGAGTAGGCAGCATTCACAGCCCTGATGATGTTTCACAGTTCCTAATTGGCGAGTAAGCAGGATGATGACTGAGAGGTCTGTGAATATCGAGCAGTCAGAGGCAAGCAATAGGGTGGGTGACCCAGTACTAAGCGGAGTTAGCGAGTGCATGAGAGGGTGAGCGAGAGAGCAATCGGGAGAAAGTGAGGAAGCAAACATATCTGCATATGTGAGTTCCAAATGATCCACAAACTGAATGTCCGAGAGGGAGAGAGAGAGGAGGGGGGGAAGGGGAGGGGGAGGGGGGAACGAGAGAGAGAGTGTGGCAATGGATGGGTTACAGAGCGAGCAAGTACGTGCATGACAAAGCAATCAAACTAGCAAGCAAGTGCCTGATAGATGAAAAGATATCTATGACTGCTCCTCATTTTGTTTTTCACCACACTGGTATCACCTGTTGTTCTTCTGTCTGCAAGTTTCCTCGTCATCAGGGCGGTTAGTACCTGACTGGAGGTTGCTATTGTCAGAGGCAGCCATCCTGCAGTCCTCTCTTCCACTGCTCCTCATGTGTGGCATACTCCGTATCACACGGGCCCAGCAGAGCCCGACCTGGTAGACTAAGGGTCCGTAGGGGTAGGGCCTGTTTCAGGCCCTGTGTCGTTTYGGCCTCCAGCCTGAAAACGACGGGCCATTTTCAGGCCCTCGCAAGATCGACCTACCCTGAAACTCAGGCACCAGACCAGGGTTTTAGCTCAGGCCTATTTTGTGGAGCGTCAACCCCAGGGTTTGGCACGTTTTGGCATAGGCACGAGCAGCCTCTCGGACGG